GCAGGGTCAAGGCTGCGGTGGCCGGGAGTGGCCACTGCACTCCAGTCTGGGCGACAGAGTGAGACTCCAACTCAAAAAAAAAAAAAAAAACCTCAATTGCCCATGCCATAAGAGTTAAAATAGATAAGTGGGACCTCACCAAACTGACAAGTTTCTGCAAATACAAAGAAACCATCAAGAGAGCAGGGAGAAAGCCCACAGTCTGGGAAAAATCATATGCCAACTGTATATATGACAAAGGCCTAACATTTAAAATCTACAAGGAACTCAAACATGCCAAAAAGAAAAAAATCTCTATTTCAAAGTGGGAAAAAGATAAGAACAGACACTTCTTAAAAGAAGACATGAGCAGCCAATAGATATATGAAAAAATGCTCAGTTTCACTAGTCTCAAAGAAATGCAAATTAAAACCACACTGAGATACCACCTAATTCCAGTCAGAATGGTCATCTTCAATAACTCCAAAAACAACAGATGCTGGAGAGGATGCGGGGAAAAGGGAACACTTCTACACTGTTAGTGTAAACTAGTAGAACCTTTGTGTAAAACAGTTTGGCGATTCCTAAAAGATCTGAAAATTGACCTTTCATATGACCCCAAAATCCCTCTACTGGGAATATACCTGTAAACTCAAATCACTCCGTGAAAAGATATCTGCACATGCATGTTTATTGCAGCATCGTTCACAATAGAAAAAATATGGAACCTACTGTGCTGCCCATTGAAAAAGGACTGAGTTAAAAAAAAAATGTGATAATTATACATGATGGAATATTATGCAGCCATAAAAGAGGACTAAATTATGAACTTTTCAGCAACTTGGATGTTCTTAGAGTCTATAATAATGAGTGATCTATCACAGAAACAGAGAACTGACTACCAATATATTCTCACCCAAATCAGATCTTGAACAATTATCATAATACTATAAGAAAGGGATTGGAGTAGTTGGAACCTGCCAGGGGAGGGAGAGGGTGGGATTGGCAGTAATGGGAAACTGCCAGGGGAGGAGCACACCTCATCAACAAGAGTATCTGCATAATCAACATTTATATACCTAGCCCTGAATTGTACCCCACATCTTCAAAATTAAAGATTAAAAAAGAAAATAATCATAGTTCTCTAGCCTGAAAACATTCTACAGCATGATCCTCATCAATGAATTTACTCTTCAGATGATGAAAATATGACTTGCTCAAGTCCATGTAGCTAAAGGGTGACAAAAAATTTGAATTCAGTCCCTTGATTTCTAGATACATCTGTTTTCTACAAGGTCTTCATTTAGGTAACGGCTAAACTAAATAAATAATTATTAATGAGAGAAAACATAAAACAAAGTGCAAAGGAAAGGAAATTAAAATATAAAGCAGAGTGATGAGGTTATTTATCAGAGAACTTCATTGATATGGAAAATATGTGATTTTTCTTTTGAATCAGTAGGCGATGGATAAAAATATGTTAAAACAGATTAGTCTGGTGACTAATTTGCTTCAAAAGGATAGGAAATAATTTGGATGCCGGTGATATTCTTGACCATCTGTGATAATCTTAGTCAGTCAAAGGTAAAGTTATCTGCTTGATAAAGGTCAGGATCACCGTTTAACTGGTATTCAGTTGTTGAAATAGGTGTTATAAACACTTCTGATAAAATCAACCAGAGATAAGATGTGGTAGTATTTTAAGAATCAGTTGCAAAATTAACCAATCATTGCTTTTCCTTGATTCATTTGTTTAAAGTCATGATTTACTCACATTGCTTTATCTTTTTTTAGGAATAGAAGACAGGAAGCAAAGATAGCAGATAGTAAAGAATAATTATGGTTGGGTCTTGATGGAGCAAGGATTCTGGGTTTTTGGATGGGCAGTGTTTAAATGCTCTAGGAAAGCTCTGAATTAGTTTCACAAGAAAAAAAAAAGTGGAGGAGTACTAGAGAATAATGAAAAAGAACTACCCTTGGTCATTACAAAATAAAAATGTTAGTGAGGAAAAAGAAGGAGAATTCTCTCAAAATAAAACTTTCTGCTTCACATGATCATTTTAGGCTAGGCAATCTTTTATCTTAAACTAAAAGAAAATACATATATTAGATGGTTGATAAAACTGTGCAGTTTTATACTGGCTTTATGCTTTGTATACTATAGATGTATAAAAATGATGTTATGGTAAGACACTTTGAATAAAGTTTACATAAAAGCATATAAATCTTAAAAATCATAATCCTGTTTATACCTAAATTGGCTCCTAAGATGTTCATGTATTATTTAAGAGATTAAGTTAATTAATAAAAATGTTTCCCCTTTGAAACATATCTTTTGAAGTGAGACTAAAGTAGTTCATATTTAGCTAACTGATTAAAATTTATTCCATGCTGGTTTTGCAAAGGAGATTATTTTTTAGGTAGACTTTCCAATTAGGCCTTGAAGTGCATACTGGGCAATTTGTACATGGGAGAATAATTTTATTTAAAAACTGTGCTCTGAAAATTGCCATGCTATTGTTGGCCTGTACAGTGAATGTACAGATTCCAGGGGAGTGTCTGACAGATTGCAGACGTCTGAGGCAGTATTTATTTAATCAATTGATCACAGGCATGTGGTTCTAATGACAAGCTCAATGAAGTCAACTGTATTCCTCCAAGAAGCATAACTTTACTTTTCCTTAAGAATTTTAATATTTCACAGTATCTTGAACCACATTTGAAAATGCCTCAATTTGCGGTCAACTTATAATGACTCCCTTATTTTCAAAATGACTTTTTATTCATCAAGACACTTATATGTGTACATGATGTGTCTGAAAAAGAAATAAATTTAATAATAACAAAATATACATAGAATCATTGTTCAATTATATTGGTACTCAAGTAGATTATTTCTTATTAAGGTAAAAATAAACTTTGTAAGGTACATCAGTAGCAATATTCAATTTTTAAAAAATTCTAATCTCTAAACTTGAGTTAAGACATTATTAAGGAACTGGGTTTCCAAGATATAAATTGATAATGAAACCAAAACATGAAATTCAGTTTTTAAAATAAGTATGTTAAGTAAAATACCATGCCTAACTACAAAAATGAGGAAAAAACCTTTTGGTCTAATGCAGTTTCCTTTGTCAACAGATGTGGACTGGGATAACAAAGACAGTCTTAAATATCACAAGTAAAGTTAAGCCAGCCTTATATTTGACTATACATTTGCTATATATTTGATATGGTATATAGCAAATGCCATACCACAGTACTCCATATCATCTTAACTAGTGTAAGAATAATGCTATTATAGCCTAATATAGGGTGATGCTAGTCTAAAACGAAAGTATATTTTATTAATTATATAAAATTATTACAAAGTTCCTTTCTGCAAAGATACCTGGCATTTCACATTATACATCTCTTAGTTATATATTTTATAAAGGTTTACCGAGTTTGAAAGATAAATGAGAAATTACTAGAAATTGATTTGAAAAGGTAAGTTATATTACAATATTTCTATAATTTGGAGCAAATGTTATCAGTGCTTTATATTCAATGTAATTATGAAATTACAACATTTTTCTTTCATTTCCTTTTATAGCTTTTCCATTAAAATATATATAGTAAAACCATAAACATACACACTAGGACTATGTAGTTGCCTCCAACTAAAAAAATATGTATTTTTACACATGTAAATCATAAAAATATGTATTTCTTAGTTGAAGGCAAAAGGTTATACTTTAAGTTACTTAACAGACAGGAACAAAATGTAATACAGTTTAGGCTTGAAGGGCACAAAATATTTCATGAATATTGATGATATTTCCAGATTTTACTATAAAATATGGTTCAAAAATCTTTCACATTAACATCAAAACTAAGAAGTTAAATTGTTACACTTACCTCTGATCTTCTCCCTCTGTTCAAATAAGTACAGACTGGGCTGAAAGCACCACTCCCACAGACATACAAATGAGTGCGGTTGAAAGTCTGGATTACACGGACAAAGTTCCCACAGCCATGCTAAAAGAATTGGTAAATAAGGAATTAGTAACTCAGTGACTTTGACTAGCTATGTTATCTGGAAAGCTTCTATGATAGGTAGAAATGAGGTGACATCCACTTTTGATATATTATTCCTTATCTTTGAGAAACTATGTGTACAACTCATGAAGGTAATTTGAGAATACACATCTAATTTATTGATGTACCAAAGCAAATATTATGATTTGGTGGCACTGAAGAAAAACAATGATTCAGGAACAGTCACAAAATAATTACAGGTATTACTCAACAAATATTTACTGACTATCATTTATATGCTGGATTATAGTCTAATCTTTTGGGCATTAAAAAAAGAAAAACTCTCTACCCTTGTAGAACTCAATTGAACAAGGTCGTCACATATGCCCTACTGGTGCTATTTATGTTTAAATCTTTACTAACTCTAATACTTCATTTGAAAATGCTCTCAAATATATATATGCCATTGCAAATATTATTTAGAATACTTTGGTATATACAGAAGTGCAAAAAAAGTATACACATTTTTATTTTTATTTTATTTTATTTTATTTTTTGAGTTGGCGTCTCACTCTGTCACCCAGACTGGAGTTCAGTGGCCGCTCCCGGCCACCACAGCCTCGACCTGCTGGGCTCCGGCGATCCTTCCGCCTCAGCCTTCCAAGTGGCTGGAACTACAGGCGTGCAGTACCACACCTGGCTCATTTTTGATTTATTGTAGAGATGAGATCTCGCCAAGTTGCCCAGGTGGGTCTCGAACCCACGGGCTCAGGCAATCCACTCATCTCAGCCTCCCAAAGGCGCGGGATTACAGGCTGAATCACTGAGCCTGGCTGTATACACATTTTAAGAAAGGAAAAAACTATTAAAATTGCAATACTCAATATATATTGATAACAAAAGATGAATACAAGTCACACTTGACTTTTGCAATTACAAGTGGTGCTCAAAGTGGTTACTATCTGCATCTAGGCACTTCTGATTATGGCAAACTAAAAGTAATGCCTAGATAACATCTCTTAAAATGTGTATACTTTTTTTGGCACTCCGGGTATTTTCTTTTCTTCTCTATTTTTGCTGTTGTTGTTATTGTTATGAGATATATTTGGGATACAATAAAAACAACACAGTTTAGTCTACTGATTTATTACAGGAGGAAAGTAGTTTACCTCAGTTAATAAAATCATCTTTCTCATATTTCAATATTTCATATACTATGTAAGATTTTATGTTCTGAAACCTTTATAAGTGGACATTTTTTAGCTGAGCAAGTTTAGAAATTAGGACACACAAGCTGCTTTCTCTAGTTTTCCTCAAATCATCACACTCACACATTACACATGCATGTTTAGAATATAATTGTGCTCAAACCAGGTCCATATTATCTTTAGTATACAGTGGCAAACATCATTGGCTTTAACATAGGGCAAATAAAAATAAACTTAAACCAAATGGCAGCATAAGTGTTGTTTTCTATGAAGAATGATATAATCATCCTCTCTGCCCGTTTCTCTAAAATAGTCCTTTTCTCTCTCCCAGAACCTCCTTTTTCACCCACTCGTAGTTCAATTAAAGACAAATGTCACGCATTCGCTCGACGAAATACAAAATAATTATTGTAATTCTAAAATTACTCTGACCTTGCAGGAGTACATAAACATGATCAACACCAAATGCAGATATCTGTGATCAAGTTAATCAACAAATATTCCACATTTGCTAGGCTCACTATCCTTTGATGACTATAAATGAAGCAAGCCTGACAATGAATGATGTCTCTTCACAAAGTCATTTTAAAATAAATTATTAAAAATAATTTTATAATTAGAAACAAAATATTTCTATAAAAGACAATAAAGAAATATATCAAAATGTAACATTAGTTTTGCCCTGGATGGTCAGATAACATACATTACTTTTTTTCTCTGATAGGTACGATATAAGTTCTCAATTTTTTATTATGCACATCTATTATTTATATTGTTGAAAAACTAAAACAAAGTAAACTTTGCTAAAATAGAAGTTAAATTCAATTTAAAGACAGTTATTTTAGATATTTCCATTATTTTCTTCTTTGATATTTATTACTTGCTTCTTTTTATACACAGTAATTTTATACAGATGTTTCCATGATAGATTTTTATTATCAAATAATCAATCATTAACTCTTCTGTCAAAGAAATTAATCCTTACAGACCAGACTACACTCTTTATTTTCATTTTAAGACGTTAAGGATTTTTGTTAAATATACAGTGTCATTGTATCTTGACACCTGTTTATAGAGGTACCTGGAAATTGATTACATAACTACAGATAATAACATGTTTCTAGAGAAAAAGCGTAGATGAAATATGATGTGTATATAATATGTCTATGTTAGGGAATCTATGAGAAATGAGACCTATACTTATATATTTTTTTACATTCAAGCTTAGTCATTCTGGGATTCTGTATATAATATTTTCCCATAAGACATGAATTCAGTCCAATTCTATTAATAACAGGTTATGTCTGTCTCACCTTGAATTTTGTAGACAGTCTGCTTTTATGAATTACTGGTTTTGTCAAAAAGAAAGAAGTCAATAACATCTTTGCATTTCAAATATTGATTACACTTGTTTTATGTATACTTTTATTTCTACCTATTTGCTTATTATGGCTAATATTTACTTAGAATTTAGTACATGCTTGGCATTGAAATGATTATTTTACATATTTTATCTCCCAGGAGGTTTCACCTTTATAGCTGTCATTTATCTAGCATGTAGTATATGTTACTTAGGCATTGTACATGCATTTGTCCAGTTTTTAAAAACTCAGCCCTTTTTAGAAAAATAATTTTTTTTTAGTTAATTTGCTTGAAGTCATATAGGAAGAAATTAAAGCAGATTTACAAATACATATGTGACTAACACTGAATCCTGTACTTTTAATCACTTTATTATTTGTCATTGGGTAAGAAGTTCATAGGTTTTTTTTCTTTGTTTGTTTTTGAGTTGGAGTCTCACTCTGTCACCCAGACTGGAGTGCAGTGGCTGCTCCCGGCCCTCGCAACCTCGACCTGCTGGGCTCTGGTGATCCTTCCACCTCAGCCTTCCAAGTAGCTGGCATGGTTGCTTTTAATAATAGTTAATATTTAGCCGGGCTTGGTGGCTCAGCCTGTAATCCCGCGCCTTTGGGAGGCTGAGATGAGTGGATTGCCTGAGCCCGCGGATTCGAGACCCGCCTGGGCAGCGAGACCTCATCTCTACAATAAATCAAAAAATCAGCCGGGCATGGTAGCGCATGCCTGTAATTCCAGCTACTCGGAAGGCTGAGGTCGAAGGATCGCCAGAGCCCAGCAGGTCGAGGCTGCGGTGGCCGGGAGCGTGCCATTGCCCTCCAGCCTGGGTGACAGTGAGACTCCGACTCAAATAAAACAAAACAAAATAATTAATATTTATATAACTATTTATAGTTTTCATAGTATTTATTAATATTTATAGAGGTCTTAATCCTTTGATGTGGATTGCTTTAATTCTCACAGCAATGTTCTAATTTAATAATATTACATTTTAATGAGGAGGAAATTGAGTTCCAGAGAGGTTAAATGCAAGGCTCTAGGTTTAATGAGTGATTGTACTGGGACTTGAACCATAGCCACCCTTCACTGTCTAGCTCTTGTATAGAATTTTGATTTGTAGTGAATAGATTCCCACAGTATCTGATGTTCAGTGTGCTCCCTGTCCCTCCCCAAAACAAGAACACAAAAAGAAAAGTGAATTGGTTGAGTTAAATGTTGGAAATCATTATCTAGGTCCTTCCCATTTCCATTGTGCTGCCTTCATTTCTGTCAACATTATTTCTGACCTAGATCATTGCAATGGTGTCAATTCTATCCTGAAAATATTTACGGAAGTCATTCTTTTCAAAGCACTGGACACGGAGCTAGCAACACTGGAATGGATAGACTTAATGTCTGCTTTAAAAAAAAGAGGGCATAGTGTATCAGGCTATAATAGATGCTACCATAGAGTTATATTTTTTTAAGATGTGCTATAGAAGGAAAGAAAGACAATAAGCAATGCTGAACTGGGTGTAAAAATTTTAGCAAAGGTGTTATTTGAGATGGGCCTTGAGTTATAATCTAGAAATTTTTGACAGGCAAAAGTAAACATTCCAACAAAAAACAGCATGAACAAAACATAGAGAATAGTGCCTAGAGAGGTTAGTGGATTATTGTGTTATGAAATCAGAGAGGCAATCAGAGTTGGTAGGCCGTCCTGTCCTAGTCTTCAGTTGGGCAATAGAGAGCACTGTAGAGAGGAAGAGTGGATTTAAGTATGAATTTATCAGAGCCATATGATCTGGGCTCACACTTAAACTTCTTCTTTTCCTAGCTGCTAAAACTCTAGACAGTTCCTCTATAGCAATCTCTCCATGCTTCAACATTTGCATCTGTGAAATGGCAATGATAATATGAGTTGTGGATAACATATTAATAAAGCAGTTGAAATTGTATCTGACACATTAGTAAACACATGCAATTGTCAGAGAGCATATTCTTTTATGTGTATTTTTTCTTATATTGTCCTGTAAAATGCTGTGAAGTAAATGGGGCATTGGTCCTGTACAGATCTTAGTACAGGTTCTGACCATAGCAGAATTCCACAAAATGTTTGGAGAATGAAGTTCTAGAGACTTCAGTAGAAGTAAACATCATGGAAGCTTTCTTTTCTTTGTTTAGTTCTCTTTCAAAACTACTTCCTGTCACAATGAAATATATAGTTGCTAACATTATACAGAATATAACAACATTTATTATACACATATACGTCTGCATAATAAAATCCTAGAACAGATCCTCAATTGTTAAGAGTGGTATGCTTCAGTAGTGCAATTTAGGTAACAGTGGTCTAGCAGTTACTGTGTACTATGTACTGCTCTAAGCTCTCTGCAAATATTAACTTATTAATCCTCTTAACAATCCAATAAGATAGGTGCTATAGATTAGAACATT